AATAAATGAATTAATTGAATTAATTGAATTAATTGAATTAATTGAATTAATTGAATTAATTGAATTAATTCAATTAATTCAATTAATTTATTTATTTCCAAAGGGGGGGGTGGAATTAATTGAATTAATTGAATTAATTGAATTGATTCAATTAATTCAATTAATTCAATTACTTCAATTAATTCAATTAATTCAAGTAATTCCTATTTTCCAAATGGGGGGGATTCCCCAGCCCCCACCCCTCCCCCCCTTTTGGAAATAAATGAATTAATTGAATTAATTGAATTAATTGAAATAATTGAATTAATTCAATTAATTCAATTAATTCCACCCCCCCTTTGGAAATAAATGAATTAATTGAATTAATTGAATTAATTGAATTAATTGAATTAATTGAATTAATTCAATTAATTCACTTAATTCAATTAATTCAATTAATTCAATTAATTCAATTAATTCAATTAATTCATTTATTTCATTTATTTCATTTATTTCCAAAGGGGGGGGAGGGGTGGGGGCTGGGGAATCCCCCCCCTTTGGAAATAAATTAATTAATTGAATTAATTGAATTAATCGAAATAATTCAACTAATTCAATTAATTCAATTAATTAATTTATTTCCAAAGGGGAGGTGGAATTAATTGAATTAATTGAATTAATTCCAATTAATTCAATTAATTCAATTAATTCAATTATTTCAATTAATTCAATTAATTCAATTAATTCAATTAATTCAATTAATTCATTTATTTCCAAAGGGGGGGGTTCAATTAATTCAATTAATTCAATTAATTCAATTAATTCAAGTAATTCAATTAATTCAATTAATTCAACTAATTCAATTAATTCCACCCCCCCTTTGGAAATAAATGAATTAATTGAATTAATTCATTAAATTCATTAAATTCCAGGGGGAAAGTGAAAATTAAGGAATTTAATGAATTAAATTCTGTCTGTGCAACCCTACAGGACCTAAAATAGGGTCTATTTGGAACATGGCTCTTGTGAATAAGTATACGTTTTGGGGCCTGTTTTCCTCTTGTAAATACGATTCCCAGCTTCCAAATAGACCCTATTTAAGCTGCACACGTGGGGGGGGGGGGGGGGGGGGGGCGGGGGGGGGGGGGGGATCTTGTATTTTTGTCGTATTTTTTCCCGTAGTTTTTGCGTGTTTTTTTTTCAGTGTTTTTCGTGTTTTTTCTTGTATTTTGAAATATGCGAAAAACACGAAAAAATACGAAAAAAATACGGAAAAATACGAAAAAAGCACGAAAAAACACGAAAAAAACACGGAAAAAACACGGAAAAAATACGCGAAAAATACGGAAAAAAAACACGACAAAAATACAAGCCCCCCCCCCGCCCCCCCCCCCCCCCCCGCCCCCCCCTCCCCCCCGGCCCCCCCCCCCCGCCCCCCCGCCCCCCCCCACCCCCGCCCCCCCCGCCCCTTTTCCTTTGCTTGCATTTTTCTCGTATTGTTCTTGCATTTTTCTTGTATTTTTTCTTGTATTTTTCTTGCATTTTTTTTGTATTTGTCTTGCATTTTTTTTGTATTTCACCGTTGTTCCTGAATCGCTACTTGTATTTTCTCTTGAATTCATTCTTGTATTTTTCTTGTACTTTTTTTCATTCTGCTGGGGGGTCAATACTTCCGAGACGCGCTCCTCACAATTCTACTCAATGCCCTCGGTGTACTCTGCCACAGGGCTCATGAAACTTCAGGCAGGACTTTTGGTTGCAGGGTTTAGGGTTTAGAGTTTAAGGTTTAGAGCTTAGGGTTTAGGACCCTTTGTCTTGCAGGGAAGTAGGGTGCTTGAGTTCGCTTAAGGGTTCGTTTGCCGGCTGTGGCGGTGTTAGGTGCTTCGGCTCTGTGGGGTTGTCACCCAAACTTGGTAGCCCAGTGGTACCCTTATCCCTTTTTTTTTGTTTTCCTGGTTCCCTTACACAGTAACCAACCCAAAAAGGGTACTTCTTACAAGATGGTTACTAGGCTACCAAGCAAACTCTAAGCCAGCCCGAAGTGGGTCTGGAGCTAAGGTGGGACATGATCGCGGCGCGCATGCCGAGCGGCAGGCCCTTCTGCGATTGTGCCGCGGCGCAGACTTGGGGAACCTGCTTGCTGCGGGCCCCCGCTTCCAAGCCACCGTAGTTGGGATGCTCCCCCTTATGCTAACACTCCTTAATAGGGAGTATTTGGGCCCCCCTATGAGAATCCCCATTAGGGACTGTGTAAGGGGGAGCATCCCACATGGGTTGTTTAGCAGATATCGGAGGTTCGGGGCAAGACCGGGGTGCCACCACCCTGAAGCTTTAGGGGTTTAGGGTTAGGGTTTAGGGTTTAGGGTTTAGGGTTTAGGGTTTAGGGTTCAGGGTTTAGGGTTTAGGGTTTAGGGTTTAGGGTTTAGGGTCCCGAAAAAAACACGCGAGCCGGTGAAAGCGCCCGGAATGGGGGCTGCGGCTTCCCATGATCAGATCAAGCGCCGAAAAGATAAAAACCCTAAACCCGAAATCCTGAACCCTAAGCCGCGATGTTGATCTGATTGGGCTTGCATGTGGGAGTGAGGCGTCGGATCCAAGCTTGCCCTCGGGGAATTTGGGGGGTTGACGAGCATCAGGCGCCCCTAGTATAACAAGGACCCTACCCCTAGCAAGTAAGGACCCCCCCCCCCCCCCCCCTGAAAAAAAGGGGACCCAAAAAAGGTACCCCTAACATGGTAAGCCCCCCATTTCGGCTTGGCCCATCAGACACATCCCATGTCGATACGTAGGATCGAGAAATTGTTTTTACGGATGCTCGGCACGTGCGGTGAGGGGCTCCGAAGATCAAATGGCCAGCCGGGTCATCACTCGTGCTCGACAAAGGTAAGCCGTGCCTCTAAGCTCAGCACTGCGAGGGTTTGGTGGATCTCGAAAACCAGAATAGGGTTTCACCTCTTTTGGATGCTTGTTCTCCTCGCGTGATTGAGGGACACTGACTTTTAACCCCCCCCCCGGGGAAGAACTTGTTTTATTTCCAGGCCGTCGAAAACTTTAACCCTATACCCTACACCCTAAACCCGAAAGCCTAAAAGCTAAACCCTAAACCCTTAAACCCTTAAACCCTTAAACCCTTAAACCCTTAAACCCTTAAACCCTAAAACCCCAGAACCCTAAACCCCTACAACCCCAGGGCCCTCAAACCCTAAACCCTAACAATTTGGAAGGTTCCCTTGTGCTAACAGTCCTTAATAGGGATTATGGTACCCCCGATTATAATCTCTATTAAGGACTGTTAGTATAAGGGTGAACATCCCAACTAACAAATCCTTCCCCCATGAAAGCCCAGGCTGGGCGCTTTGGCAGCTTGCAGGGCCTGGGCCACTCCTGGCAGTCTGCTCCCCGAGGAAAAATGGTTGCTTCGGAGGTCTTTTGTAGGGTTTAGGGTTTCGGGGTTTAGGGTTTAGGTTTAGGGTTTAGGGGAGCCTCCGCAAGAAACCCTAAGGATATTTTCGCTTTGGGGCTGGCGTGTGGCCTAGGGGAGTGTTGTTTAGGGTCTTAGGGTTTAGGGTTTAGGTTTTAGGGGCTTAAGGTGAGTCAATTGCATGTTGTAGGGGTTGGGCTTGGATGACAGGTTTCCGAATTCTAGGGGGTGCCTGTTTGGGGTCCTTATTATAGAGGAATCCTACTATTTGGGGGTCTATCCCAGGGTCCCATTTTCGTAAACTCCCATATGTTGCGGCTTGGTTGCTTCGGAGACCCCTGGCTCCTGCAACTTCTTGCTAGGGGGGGCCTCAGTTGGAGTTTCCTTCAGTGCTATACGCGCCCCCTAGAATTGTAGCTGCTGTGCAGTGCACGCGCCAACCTCCACTGTGGGCCCGCAACCGGTGGTGGGGTCCTTCTAAAGTAGGATTCCTTTCGTAGGTTCCTTCTTGCAGGGAATTCCGGAGAGCAAAAGGCATCCCAAGCAACCCTATGCACTCCCCTCCCCCCCAAATTGCGAAGAACAAAGCCACCAGAAGAGGGTATTTACTATTGAGGTGAAGGGGACCTCTAAACCCTTAGAACCCTTAGAGCCCTTAGAACCCTTAGAGCCCTTAGAGCCCTTAGAGCCCTTA